TTTAATGAGTTCAAACTTGGTTCATGAGAATGTCAGTCTATGTGCAATTCCAGCTTTAGTTGTGCCAAAAAATGATGGGTTTTTATTCTACCAAAATAGATTTTGGAAGAACGTATGTCTTTCAAAGTTGTCTTGGGTAGATGTTAGCATAGAGTTTGTAGTGAGGCTTCCACGCAAATGCGTCTAGCGGAGAATAAGGAGTGGGAGAAGCAGGTTTCAGATTTAATGAGTTCAAACTTGGTTCATGAGAATGTCAGTCTATTTCCAGCTTTAGTTGTGCCAAAAAATGATGGATTTTTATTCTACCAAAATAGATTTTGGAAGAATGTATGTCTTTCAAAGTTGTCTTGGGAAGATGTTAGCATAGAGTTTGTAGTGAGGCTTCCACGAGCATGGCAATGCAATGACTTTATTATAGTAGTAGATCAATACTAAAAACTTTTAGAGAAGCCCTCCTAGTCCGAAAGAATGATGCTAGAGCTTTCAGGATCTCTAATCCTATAAATCCAATCGCAAGTGTTTCGCGATATCGAGTAAATGAATGTTTCCACGATCACAAGAAGAACGAATAGAAAACTTCTATTTGGTTTGCAATTTCTGCAGGGATCTTTGCCATTTTATTTATTTATTTTATTTTCGGGAATTTTTTCTTTTGTATTTTTATTTTTTGGTTCTTTCTCATTTTCCTATTTTCGAATTAGATTTTTTTCTATTAGGGTACTTCTATATATTTAGTAAGGTTGTTTGGATTTTCAGTTTAAAGTGTGAATTCCGAGAGACTTCTGCTATTGTGAGCGTTTGAAGACTTTGTTCTTTATTTTAGGCTCGTCGGAGTGTTGTATCAATTCCTTTTGCAAGTGGTGTGTTTGTTTCTTGTTCGGAAACAGGTAGTGGAACCTCCTCACTCTCCATACATAATCATTTCAAAGTTTTCTTTGTTGTTTTCAGCCGGGACAGCTATCGAACATCGTATATCCCCCAACAAATGTCATAGATCGCCCATATTATCATTCCCTTGCTATTCCACAACCACCTCAACAAAAAACCCGCTTCCTAAACACATAAGAGCCCTTCAAAGATATCAACGAATAATCCTACATATTTCAAATGCAATACCAAAATTAATGTTACTATTCACAGCGCGAAAGCCAATCACATAAAAATGTCCATGCATTTTAAATTCATTCCATAATCTCCACATGCATAAAAGCTTTTCTAATGGACGCTTGAATTGCACAAGTAAAGATGTGACTGTTAAAAAACTGAATCTTTCTAATCATATGAAACCATATGCATGTATTTTTGGTATGATATATGAGCTTTTGCAATGGTTTTAATCAGCGGAAAACAAAGGTCAGGTTAACATGTTGTGGTAATTTTAGAACGACTTTGTGAAAGGACTTGAATTAGTAAAATGGAATGAACTGCGAATAACAAGAATAAAAAGATTGATACCAAAGTTATCCAAACTACAATGATAAAACAAATATTAATTTTGAATTCCAATAAGAACATACAACCAAAGACACTGGAAATCATAAATTCCAACAAATGACAAACTCAACTAGAGTTGGATCTAGAGGCAATGATAGTGGATGGCTGGGGTTTGGAGGATGGAAGGGTGATGGATGAGGTGTTTGGTAAGCAGAAAATAGATAGGCAATGGTTTTTGATGGTCTGAGCAGCAAGCAAACTGAGGGGGTCAATGCAAAAGTGATGTTTGGCTTAGTCCAACTGAATCGGCCACATGTTCAGCAGG